TCATCAACTCGGGAAATATATTTTCTCGGGAAGACGGCATCTCACCTACAAGATATCACCAACCCGTGAACACTTTCGCGGGAAGACGATATCTCCCCTACAATTATAACATCGCTAAAACTACTCCAAGGATGTACTTCTTCTATTTTATAAATGACGCGGGTGCTCATCGCCTCATTTAACCTTAGAGCTCAGTATTAACGTGTGTCTACTTATTTTGAAAACCAAAATTGATTTTAAAAAGAGAGTTTTCTGATATTGATAACATTATATTGTTTTCATAAGTAATGCACTACCCCGATACAGATTTTTAATTGACTACCGTTAATTATTTTGTTAAGGATCAAGCTATGATCTGCTCGATGCTTTTTACTATGCCTCAAAAAGGTCGTTTTTGTAACTTTGTAAATGTTCTGTTAAAATAATAGCTATAGTTAATTTTTACACCATGGCTGTGCCAGGTCACGCTCCCCTACGCTGCTGCTGGTGTGCTCGGCTGCCTACGCGCGCCATGTGCCTATATAACCCATCCTACCCGCCTTAATCCTATGCCTTAAACCTTAATTGTAATCGTTCATTTAATACAATCATAACTTTGCCTTATTTGCCTTCTTGCAAATGTAGAATTTCGCTGGTCTCGATCTCAACAGCAGGTCACCTCCAATTCTTATGAGCTTCAAATAATTCCGTCGATTATCTTTTAAAATCTACTTTATACAATCATAATCTAAATAATTCTGCTCTCAATATTTTTTTCTTTTGCTGTCCTCTTGAACTTATACTAGTAGAATTTACAATATACAAGTTACTCTAAAGCTAATGGTGTAAAGTTCATTATTTTAAGCAATTTATACAAATTTGAGATCCGTGGAAACATTGTCCATAAAATTCATTTTGGTCCATTGGAATGCCGCCCTTAAATACTCTTAATAGAGTGCTTGCATTAAATAACTTCAGGTTTAGGATAAAATCCGTTGGCTCCGTTGTTAACTCCTCGAATTTATGGTGTTCAGGTTTTTCATTTCATCTTTAAATATTTAAATAAAAGCTTGAAAGTATGTTCTGATAAGTTTTAACTAAACCAGTAATTTTAATACAATTATAACAAAAAAGCAAACCAAATTCCAAGGAACCCTCCGTGCATTCTTAACGAAAATCTAAACACGCTTACTCCAACGATTGAGTAAATCCCTAAAAGCCCCTGCCTTGCTGGAATGTCTTTGAAGGTGCATTAAACACAGTGCACCTGGCCGCATTCCGCGCGCGCGGCCTTTTCAACTTTTCTACCAATAAGAATCACCGGACCATTATGAACACGCCCACACTGCGCCGGCCACGAGCGGCTCACGTGCTCTCGAACCACTCGCTCTCGATTTCGCTTTGGAAACAATGCGCGAAATGTGCAATGCACCAAAAGGCATGTACATGGATATGTTTTTGACAAACGAATAGCAGGTATTGACATGCAAATTACTCAACATCAAAAGGGCTTTCGCCTTCAGGAATGGTATTTCAACGTACAACATTCAGCAATGCAAAAGACAAACTCAATGTATATGAGACTCAAAATGGACGCCATTTTGTTGGCAACAAACACACATGTATCGTGCTTATTCTAATATCTAGATATATTAAAAATGAGACACTTCAAAAGAATAGCAGAATTTTATCCGAAATATTCAACAATGCAAAACACAGCCTCATGTACAAAAAAACAATAGCTTATGCTTATTGTAAATAACATTAAAACATTCTGCATTACATGCGATTTAAGGACCAAAGTCAAAGAGAGGTATTTTTCTGGCTCCACTTTACTTCGAAGTGAGAATTAAAATGCAGGCAGAATTACAAGGTGCAGTATTGCTCAAAATGCGGAATATTGAGACTTTTTTTCACTTTTGGTTCTGTGTGACCGGAGGCAGAAGATAAATTTTCACTCACCTCGATAGTTCCTTTTTTAAAGTTGGACTTACCCCGACGAACTCCAAAAGAAAATCAGTATTTTCCAACAACGTCATCAGATCATTCGACAAAATTATGAAATCACAACAATTCCATGTGTCCATTCAGTTCAGTTCAGCACAAAATGAGCATCCAAAGGAATGCGGATGCGAAGTCCAGTTCAGTTCCGTAAAACAAAACTGATGACAAGTTCTGTAGGCCTACAGCAAAGTTCAAGTCAATTTTTCAATATGGGTGACGACGACGCAACATGTCTGCGTCGAAATGTGGCAGTGACCCCGTACATGAGGCCGGTTTTTCTGGTCGAAGTGCAAGACTCCAAGCGCCCAAATTCATGTTTCTTTCGCGCCCATGACGACTCCAGGGTATGATGTACACATTTCCGCGTTGGGGGCTTGAAGCTGGACGGCAGACCCGGAGGTAAAAGTCTCAAGTTTTGCTTGTGAAATGTGTTGGTGACTGACCAAACATATAGCGGGAAGACATTGCGCGCGAGCTGCCTCACAGTGTCCGTTGACCCACGGATCATACACACTAGGAATAACGGCTAATAAGCTCTAGTAGGATCATGAATATTCAAAAATATAATTAGCTGGCGGAGTCCTGCAAATTTGAAAGCCGCCGCGTGCAGTGAAGCGATTAAAGCTGTCTGGGTCTTTGTTGACAAGTATTTATGGTATTAATTGACGCCGTACGGGCCATTATCGCGCGTCTCACCTGGAGTTTGGCCGAGTCGTTCATTCTTGTGTGTAGGATCGTGGTTGACCACGTTCTCGGTATTTTTCCATGGCGTAATGATATGGAGGTGAAAAGTGTCATTTATATCGCTTGCTGTTGCTGTTTGCGCTGCCTTTGGTCGAAGTACTCTGTGTGTATTTCTCCGCATACTAATTTTCTCCACTTAGACTAATTTAAACAAAGGCCTAATGCCAAACAATTTCATCCTGAATGGGAAAAAATGGCAAATTTTTTTAAGAGAGGACATTCGAGGAAGTCCGTGACGTAGTACGCGTGGCTCGCGTGGCACGTCTCTCATTGGCCAGAAGTATGTAGGTTACGTCTTCCTCGTCAATCTAGCCAATTCGATTGGCAGAAGGAGTCTGGTAAAAAAAAATGAGCAGACGAAAAATGGTACATTGGTACCGTACAGGGTGACGTTTTAGCCGATTTTCGGCTAGATTTGACCGACTGTTTGGAAAAACACTTGAATCTAGCAGAAAATCTAGCAAAAGGAAAGTTTTAGCAGATTTCTAGCAGAATTCCATAAATCAGTGATTATAGTAAAAAAAAAAATATGGCAGATTTTGTTATGAATACTTTTACCGATACTATACAAAGGGAATGATAGGGGAGATTTGGGTAGTTTTGGTCAAAGTTTTACGTGCACTCGGGGGCCATCGCCATTTTATCTGTGGGGGAAGACATCCAATGGCGTAGTCACGGGGGGGGGCGGGGCGTGGGGGGGCGACAGTCCCCCATGAAACCTTGTCGCCCCCCCCCCCCTGAGATTTTGAGTTTCTAAAAAAATTATCATTGATCTACATGACGCCCCCCCCCCATGAAATGTTCCAGCCCCCCCCCCCCTGAAAAATTCCTGGCTACGCCACTGAAGACATCCCCTTCCCCCTGAAGACGCCACGCATGGCTGAAGCAGATTACGTTTGGCCTAACTCGTTCATTATGATATTAAGACTAGGCACTGTAGTCTCACACCAGTTTGGTAATTATCCGAGTAATTACATATTGTATTGGGGCCAAAGTGTAGCTTAAGAAAGTCTATTTCACGAGTGACAGTACAAGTCAGTCAGTCGGGGAGTCAGTCGGGGAGTCGGGGAGTCAGTCAGTCAGTCAGTCGGGGAGATAAGTTTAAAGAAGATACTAGAATGGCCCTGGACACCAATAAAAACAGGGGGGAAATAATGTGATTGAGTGTCGTGGGAAAACGTGTCATAGAGGGAAATTTAGATAAAAGACGCATTTTGAAGAGAAAAAATCAACCACTTTCAACTGGCTTGCATGGTCAACATCCAAAACATGTTTAATAATGAAAAATAGGACCTTTACCAGTACCAATGCAATCGAGACAGGCACAGTTTTATTGGAATAAGGCCATGAATAGCAACGGCTGCGTTTACACCAGTATGAAACATGTACGTGTAGATGACATGAGTTCATTGTATGGATATCACTTCACACGAGATGACATTGATGGTGTCAAAACTAGTTTCTCAAAAAACAGTTATCTCCATTTTGGCAACTAAGCAGTGACTACTAGTTGTTTCATTTCGACATGTTTATATAAATAATTTCAATACAGATACATAAAATTATAAGCATTATCTTTGGATTATTATAATACAAAAAAAATGTATTTACAGATTTATCAGGCAGTATTTAGCAGCACGTTGTTCCGAGTGGGAGTCCTGTCATCACAAGAGGGCGCTCGTCATTGATAACAATTCTTAAGTTCCCTCTGGAGGCGGCAGACCGAAGAAAAGTACATGTACATACACCTTCGAATTAGGTCAGGAAGGGACATGAATATTTACCTACTCCAAGGCACTTGATTGACGAAACAGTTTATGCAATCGAGGCAAAGGCATACACGCACCATAGAAGTAGACAACATTAATAGTACTAGGCCTATGCCGTTTTGGACGGGATTTTTGTCGTTATGGTTTAACAACCTGGGCCCAATTTCTTGGCTCAGCTTACCGTTAAGCGAAAAATCTCTGCTTACTATAGCAGAAAACTCCATGCTTACGTTAAGCGTATTTCGCGGATTAGAGGAAATGTGGCTTCTGCGCACTGGTACAAAACTAAGGATTCTGTGCTTACAGGGTATGCTGGTGCGGTTAGCAAAATATGGTGATCGTAAGCGCGGAGTTCTGTGGTTAGCAGAGACATGAAATAGGGTCCTGAACACAGAGACAACATGCTTGGGAAAAAGTGACTGGATTGACTCTGCGCCCTCTCTAGCGCTACATCAGTCCAATTCATATTACAAAAGCACTATTAAAATGTTTCTTTTTTTCTCATTTATAATAGCTTGTCTGGCAGCGATATCTCTACATTCGTTAAATTTCATGAAGGCATATCAAAAGGAATGTTAATTAGAATACATCCTACATAAAAAAGTATTTACAGCGAGTTTTGAATTAAATGTTGTCCTTAATGTCCAGCGTTGCATAGGGCAGAGGCACACGTGTACAATTAGTTAAAAGCTGACGCTGGAGGGAATAAACTGGTCTGCTGAACAAACCACGCCCATTGATAGAAAAGACTGCGCCCTTATCGGTCATACCTCTTCAACATGAGGTTTTTTTTCAGTTCTGCACTGCAGTAATACAGTATCTCGCCTGTGGACTGCAAAAGCTGACGATTCTCAGTATACAGAAACACTAACTGCATGATTACGATTATTGTGATGTCCTGATTGCACATACATTCAACCGCGTAGGGTCAATAACTTCCTCAGGAGTTGAAGGGAAAAGTGGTGTTCGTAAATGTTTCATTCGTCTATGGTGTCGCAAGAATCGCTGCCCAGGGGGGAGCCACTGCCCCCGTCAAACCCTGTCAGGGCCATCCTGCGGGTATACACAGGAGTGGTGGCGGCGAAGCTGGTACTTCTGGCCCTGGGTCGGGGCGGGTTGGAGTCCAAGTCCTGTTTGCTCCCCACGCTCGTCTTTCTCCTGAGCGTGAACTTGGGCGAGTTGGTGCTAGTCCGTTTGCGGTTTTTGTGGTCCATGTAAAGCCTCTCGAAGACGGCCACCACGTCCTCGTAGGACTCCCGAGCCGACACCTCCACGAAGGAGCAGTTCATGGAGCGGGCCAGCTCCAGTCCTTCCTCCCGCTGCACCAGCCGGTCATACTCCAAGTCCTTCTTGTTGCCGACAATCAGGATGGCCTGCTCGTGGGAACTGGACTTCTTACACCTCCCGGCCAAGAACTTGAGCCTCGTCACCTCTTCGAAGCTGCACCTGTCGTTGATTGAGTAGGCAATGATGAAGGCGTCCGCCCATTTCAGTTTTTCTTCTATTTTCTCCTCCTGCCAAGAGAGATTAAAAAAAAAGAATTAACTACTGTCGATATGTTTCACATTCAAGAAAACAAATAATGTTTTCAACTACTTTGCTGTCATGGACAGTATCAGGTATTTTTTTTATGTCCCAGGCAGTCCATCGAACTGAGCGAACATACACTAAGATCAACAAAGATGAAATATTGACAAGTTAACATATTTCTCAAATACATGTATACGGTTTAGCAGTCTAGTCGCTACAGAAACAGGCCGTATGTGAAGCGATTTTAATTGACCGCACATTTTCCCTGACAATAATGTTCACTAAGATGCCTAGCGAGTGATACGGAGTTATATTTAGCCAAGCTGACTGTGTGCGTTAGAAAATCAGTGTTGTATGTCCATCTCGAGACCAAGTTGTTGCGGTCTCGGTCTCGTTCTATCAAAGTCTCGGTCTCGGAAGTCTTGTTCTCGGTCTCGCTCGGCAAAAGTCTCGGTCTCGAAGTCCTCGTCTCGGTCTCGAAAGAGCTGGTCTCGGTCTTGTTCTCGGTCTCGAATACCTTGGTCTTGGTCTCGGACATGAAGGTCTCGACTACAACACTGGTTCTCTACCACATTTTTCTCAGATACTATCACAGCAACATCCCAGTTTCTCAATTCTAAGTTTGTAATTTTTCAACATAAATCCGATTTCTAAATGATTTGTTTATTCCGCTAACCATCAACTTCCCAACAAGACTAACCTGGCCGGCAGTGTCAAGAATTTCGAAGTCCACAGGGGCATTTTCAGTCTCAAAGAACGTTCGGTGCTTGTAGATGGTTTCTGAAAATGAGCAAGAAAAGACAACTAACATGATATACATGAACTACTTTTCCATAAGCGAGCATCATTTGAAACGAGATATAGCGCCCTCTATAAAAAAAAAAGATTTACAGATGTTGTGCGCGAACAAAAGAGGGGGCTGTGTAACCTAACAACGTGTGTCACTTCGCTGGTTCACATACGCTTTCTACCATTTCCCTGTCTATCATCCACGCATACCAGCGTGCATCATGGAAGATGGTGCTCAACAGATCTTTTATCTGAGCTCTTCTCTCTCCAAGTTTGAGGGGTTCTGGAGCGCTTTTGCTTATTTTCAAAAAGTGATACTGCAATGCGAAACACAACCAGAGGGATCTGCAACACCAGAAGTAATTGACATACTTGTACATTGTTGACACACACCTTGAAATAAAAATAACCTGACCGCCAATCGCGCCATTCTTGCTGTTGACAATGATGATAAATTGCAGCATGTGTCCTCGTACATGTACAATGTGGGCATTGTGAATCAAAAGAACAGATAGCTTTTTCTAAGAGTATTGGCCGACTAAACTATGGTAGTCGGTTATAATGTAATGGCTGCAGTCAATGTCATAGTCTGCGTGGTTGTTTTCTTTTCAGAGATCACTTGTGTTAGGGTGACATCAGCAATTTGATTTGGTACCACGTGCAGGGTCAACAGGTGCAATAATAATTAATTGTTAGGACCCTATTATAACAAATTGGTTGGTTCTATATTGAAGCAATGCCTCTTTAGTTACACAGTCATCCGACAAAAATCACATTTAAAAGAGAGGGAGCATTTCCTTGAAACTTCAGGTGGGATTTTCTGTGGAAACTGGCACACAGATCAATCTCATCAAATAATGGCCATTTAAACGATGAGGGGAGAAAATTAACACACAAAAAAGAACTTGACCCAGTTTGATTGCCAAACTATCCTCTCTAGATGAATGAAAAGGGTCACAGCAAGAAATCGGCGTTCAGATTTGTTTAGAATAGCCTTGATTATACGCGAAACAACGAACCATGTGACCGGTGGCGAGGAAGGATTGAATAAAGCAACCAGGCAAGACCTTGTTTCGACACCGTGTCACACCGCTAATTGACGCCCTACACAATGACCCAAGGGTGACAGACAGGAGGAGAACCCGTGGGCTGTCATATTTCAGTGTCAGCCCTCACCGACTCGCTATTTCATTCAGTCAAACATACAATTTATCTATACGGTTTGAGGTATATATCGACGTCTCAGACAAACGAAACCACGAAATAAAAGTCAAAACTTAGCAACGCGATTGTTCCCCTTTTGGAGTTGTTGAAACTACTAGAGTTGTCTCTACCATAAAACGTTATTTGAAGGTAATCACTCACTCCATTACACATTTCAAAGAATTTTGTTATCAAAAGAAGTGAAGGTTATTACTAAGAAATACGCATCGAATTATATTGTACTGCTTTATAAATGCAGTTGTTTGTTTTTGCAGCGTGTGGGTCCAGATCGGTATAGCATTTGATGTTTCTTGGGGTTTTTTCCAAACCACAACACGATTGTGAAAAGAGTTACTAAATAAACTTACCAAGTGTCGGGTCGTATTCGTAGATAAAACGCCTGGTGACAAAACGTACAGTCATTGCTGAAATGTAAACGAAAAAAGAAAGAAATTTATGAGAACGTTATGTGGTGGGTATTAATAACACTCCCTTTTCACATGTAAATTCACTGTGGACAATTCGAACTGGTGATTGCAGATACGAAGCACCGGCTACCACGGAGTGATCATAAGGTTAATAAAAATGGAAGCTACATTTGAAATATTCGGAAAACAATTATAGATTAAAAATTGTGTCATGTTAAGATCCAAAAGGAATGAAAAAAAAAATAATAAAGCGAGACGAGCACTGCAATCCAAACAAAAATGGGGCCTATTTCTATTATAAAAAACCACTACTGTCAAAAGCTTTCGTAAATGATTAAGCGACAACTAATTTGAAGCCAAAGCTTTTAGGAACAAAACCCACAAGCCCATCGAAAATAAATCACTATTTAAGTACCTAGACGACGAAATATAACATCGCTTGCTCACTGCCAATACCGTGAACATGGCTTGCCTCTTTTATTTCAAGGCAACCAATAAATTGGGTTAGAAGGCAACACTATAAAGAGATTACTGCTTAAATCTCTTAATCATTGACCGCGATCATAAATACGCAGAGGATGTCCCATGTTCGCAAACGGAAATGCATGCATATCTATGATTTAAATGTACAAAGCACTTGAGCTGTACGAACAGCACTGAGACGGTGTTCCTTTCTATACCACCCAGAAACCATCCCCGACACCCAAAGCTCTTAACCTAATACGATTGTTAAGGGGCATGAAAGGAATGGGTTTGGAGAGTGTTTTAACTTATGTTTGGAATTTCAAGAGCATTTCAATCAAGGACTCCTCCATTGTATACTCTCCTCTGCAAACGCCAATTCTGCGCGAAGAAGACAAGGAAAGGAGAGGGGTACACAAGGAGCGCTTGTTGGACGGTGGGAATACCGGGAGAAGAGCGAGTCCGTGAGGGCGAGGGACACAGAACAACAGGGAACAAAGACCAAGCATTCCTGCAGGATTTCAGACAGTGATCTAATTGCAATTACCGAGCTAAATTTCTTTGAAGCGAGCCAGCGTGTTTACACAGACCCTAGGCAGTTACACACTTTTTCTTTGGCCGCAAAACACTCGAGTCGCCCCTTGAGTGGTCTTTACTCGGTCCTGGCTGAATCCTATAAGTACCGTTGTACGAAATAATTGTCAATATTGTGGGTGCGAGTTGGTTGAATACCTCGAACCCCTGACCCCGGGGCTGGCATTAAAGCGACTCATCTAGCTTTTTGACGAACGTGTGACATTAAGATAACAAACATTCATCGCTGATTAGTGTCACAGTAGCAAGACCTTTATACCTTTGAATAGAATTGTTGAGACTGAGAGAGTGGTAATGTACGCTACTTATATTGGCTTGCCTGAGCATTGGGCGTTCAAAATATGAAACACCAGGACACATAACAACCAATATCAGTCATCAATGATATCATACCACAATATACTTCTACTATATATTGATTGGATTTTCAGTCCCGGCCTGATTCCTTGGGTTACCCCAGAACATTCTTCAGGGTTTTCCTCCAAATTCTAAATCTCTCTCATTGTCTCCTCTCTACAGGCTCCTTCTGGCTTTGGAGCTACAGTGCCTATGGCACTTTTGATGAATCCTTGGGTTCATTGCCAGAAATAAATGACATTGACAATAATAATAACTGCTCCATGGTTTGAATAACGATTGGTATAACATACAGCGTACCTACATGATTCCTGCGATATAAAAATAAAATGTCACTGTGTAGTTTGGGTTTTAATTTAATGGTAATGGGCTAAACCATTAGTATGGATAACAGTCCTAAATGATCTCCTTAATAGTCAGTTTACATGAAGTAAAGTCATTCGTATTAGTAGGTTTTACTGACATCACGATAAGCTTATTACTAGAATGCAAGGAAAAATGGCCATGCAACAACTGCAATTGGAGTAGGCTTTAATTGAAATCTCCTCATCATGTCGTCGGCAAATACCGATGCAGGGCGCCATACTTAAGGTATATAGGAAAACTGATGAAAAAACTCCTTGAGGTTTTAAACATATGGCCTTCCTCTTTGGAGCCTCTTTACCCATTGAAAACAAAATCACCCTTTATCTTGTATTTTGGGTGTCGTTTATGTCATTCCGTGCCCAAAATGATGATAAATTGTGTTTTGGGAAAGTACCCTTTCCATGTAAAGAGATAATAGGCTCATCACTAGCGCTATGCATGGCTTTTACCACAAGTATTTTGGGGCTTTTCTTCATTCCATGGTCGGAACTTCTTTACAAAAAAACAAAGAGTAATAGGTGGTGGGTCAACAGTGAGGTTTTGATGACTTCATCGTGTAAACTGTTGGTTGCCTAGCGCTTAGTGCCCTTCGTGGTCTGGAGCGTTGAATTCGCGGTCTGCGGGTAATTCTGCGGGTAATTCTGCAGGTCGTGGGTTCGAGTCCAGCATGGGGTTATGGTGCAAGTACCATTGGACAAGGCACTTTGCCACTCATTGCTTCTCCCCACCCAGGAGTATATTGGGTACCCATTAGGGTAGATGTGGTTATTACGATTGATTTTAGCTGCTTCACGCCGACATGGCAGCAAGGAGCTATACTTCCCAGGGAGCTGAGATTTGGAATGTTTCATTGGCCCGATAAGCTGGCCTGATGTGGCGCCTTGGGCACCAATATTTGTGAATACTTATGAATACACATTATTAGATCCCTGACAAAAATCATCGCAATTTGGTCGCTGTGAGAGAAATAATTCTTCAATTTTTTTATAATTATTTGAAAATTCCAAAATTGTTAAGGCCGACAGTCCCCAGCTATTTGTCAACGGGCAGCTTCTTGTATTAGAATTAAAAGATCTTGTCAAGTCACTAGTGGGGTGTCACTCAAAGCAACTGAAGTAACATTCTATAGAAAACATCCTGATATAATGACGAGCTATCGTCTCGAAGATTCGAGGAGTGTTTTCTAAGAGGGTTTTACGAGGGTCAAGTGGCGAGGTTATTCAGAGGTAGAAGCTCAAGCACAGGAATCTGTCATGTAGGCCTATACTGTCAGAAACCTTTTAAAGCGTATCATTTGGCGTATGTGTCGCAATTTAGTGAAGGGGTGTTAAAAAAATGCAGGGAACATCAAAGTCAGTCATACAAAGGGGAAAGCCGTTAAGGATTTGTATCGAACGCTGATGCTGCGTTCAAATGTTCACTCGTTCAAACTCATTCCATTCGGTAACCTCATCTTTCCAGTCGGCAAATTCATCAATCCATTCAACGAACTCGTCATTTAATTCGGCAAAATCGTCATTCGATTCGGCGAATTCGTCACTTCGGTGAACTCGTCATTCCATTCGGAAAATTCATCATTCCATTCGACAAATTATCATTGCGTTCGGCGTGAGGTTTTGTCCAATAAATCATCTCTTCATTACCGGATGGAATAATGAATTTGCCGAGTAGAATGACGATTTTGCCTAATAAAATGAAGATTTTACCGAACGGATTGACGACTTAACCGATTGACGAATTTGCCAAACGATGAATTCGCTGAATATTAACTTCAGTTCACGAAGCGAGCGATAAGAAAGGCACCCTAAAAAATACAGGTCAAATTTAAATCTCTGGTTGTGATTCCTTTAATGAATAGGTTAATTGAAACCTTTTGTTTGTCCTTACTTTGTCATTAAGACTTTAGTTATGTGCATGACCTCCTTGAGTGAAAGAAGAGTGCGTGACAAAACAAAATAGGAGTGGGATCTCTGGGCAGCAAAGTACCTTCTTTTTACCTATAATCACCTTCCCATTTTATGCAACCACGACGCATTATGGAGATGTCAAGTATAAAGCTGGATGACCATCGTCCACTCACGCGCGAAAAGGAGAACTCCCCCACTTTGGAAAACAAGTCCTTCGCCTATAGATGCAACCCCGATCCATTGCATCATTTATCACCCAGCCAATTACCGAACTCATCAAGAAACCGTTATAGACGGAAACCGATTTAGCTTCCTTCAGTTCCACGCGGGGTTTCCCTATGTACCATAGCCTCAACAGCAAAATGGCCGACACTATTGCGGGTTCCTTGCAACAACAAACACGCTTTATGCGCTGCAAATAGATGTTTTCGCGGCGAAATTACAAATCCATTCAGACTCGGGAAAACTCATTTTGGATTTGAAGAAATCGGAGCAGTTCTTAAGCTTGTAGGTTTAGATTAATGGGTTCAGCTCTTGGTGTTTTTATTGCAGGGGGTTAGTTCGTCTTAGATTCCGGTTCCAGTCTGCAGGTATAGGCTGAGGGAGTGGTCGGCTCCATTCTTGGATGAATTTCATCTCATATCGGCGTCTTCAGTTTCTGGAAGGAGTAGGCCTAAATATTTTTAGTTTTGCAAGGGACCTGGCCGTCAGAGCAGCCATTCCTTATGGACGACGTTTCTTGAAGTTAAAATAACTTTAAAAAGAACAAAACATGTATATATATTTAGATAACGTACACACAAGGTTAGTCAAAATGATCTGGACCCAAATTAAAGACAATATTTTAAAAATGAAGCAATGATCAAAACAAGGGCGAATGAGAAATGTTATAGGCTGGTGTTTTTGGCATATTTAGTGCAAGTTTATGTTTGATTGTACCATTTTGAAGAAAAGCGCCAGCAAAAGAACACAGGCTAAAAAACTCTGACCACGGTTCCATGGCTCAACAAATTATTGAAATCGCGTACTGATGTGACTGCATTGTTAATGCATGACACTTTCACCAAATATATAATACCAGCCTAGTCATTTGCACTTGTATTTTTTTTTTTCATAACTGCTACATATTTTTAATATTTTCTTTAAGTTTGGGTCCAGATCATTCTGACTCACCCTGTACAGAGAAGTTCTAAAATGTACAACAAATCGACTGCAAGTGCCTATACACAGTATTCGCATGATTGCACCATAATGCATAGTTCTCATTAAAAAAACATTCAGAGGTCTTATTCTGAGAACCAATAGCCCTAT